GGGTTCCTGAGTTTCATTGGGTAGTAACTTCTTGGTGTCTTCTTTTTAAATGAAACTCTTCGAAATATTTATTTGACGACGTTTCGGGCCTTAAGCCCTTCTTCAGGTCTATAATATACATACACAATAAATCTATCAAACTCATGCTTAAACAACAGTTCTAGCTAATGTGACCGACACTATTGGAAATACTCTCTCCCGTCAATAAGCCCTCAATACGACCACTCCTCTCCCCCTCTCCCTTCTTTGCATCAGAGATACTATTCCGATTCTTCTCGGGAATGGATAACATTGTCAGCTCAAAACTCGTCCAATCCATCTATTTGAATTTGTTCGAATACTGTTGCAGCCGACAAATTCACTTGTGGAGGAAACAAGCCGCCCACAGGATCTTGTAGTGGTCAAGACACTACCTGTCCAGCCGGTAGCAGTTGCATAGTAGGATTTGGCGAGGATTGTGCTGCGACAACGCTAATGAGAGTAAGCTTAACATATCATGTGCTACCTCTGAAGAAGCGATCGATAATTGATTCTGAATGCGTTCCCCTTCAGATCGGTGGGACATGGAATCTCGCCAGCAAGGATGTCCAGTCGGTGACGTGCTCACAAGAACTCGGGAATGGGGACAGGAAGCTTGGATTGGCAAAAGCTGCGCTCACAGGTGCAGTTTATTAATTGCTAGTGCCTGCACTTATCGCATTGGTCAGGCTGACTGATTTTTTCAAATACTTGTAACGAGTTTTGTAAAAGACCGCCGTCTAAATTGGGATTGGCACTATTGTCGTGGGGGACAAGTAGACGTTCGCTTCAGCTATTTGTATTTCAGATTCTGTGCGCACGGTTACGACTGCATTCAAGGAAATCGTGTCGCACACTGTTGTGGCCCGATACCAAATTTCAAGGAGAAGGTGTACCCAGAAAACGACAATTCCATCAATGGTGGTGGATATGCAATCGCCAATCCTAGGCCAACTAACGGGCGACCATCACAAACCCAGGTACCAGCAGCGTCATCAGGCAGTAACTCGGAAGAATCTAACGGGTACCGTCGACGTAAGCTCCGCAGGCATTAGTATTATAAGTAGCTTGGCTTCTAATAGTAATGAAGTGAAACGAATAAAGTGTTCAGAAAAAGTTTATAAGTGTTGTGAATGATGAAGTATTTTATATCAGAAATGCAAAGCCCAACGGGAAACTACCATAAAACAAATTTTAGTGAGTCCTTCGAAACGGTTCAGATCTGCCGATTGTGTCATCAAAGCAAATGAATGAGGGAAGGCGAATACAAAACTACAAAAGTAGTTGGTAAGAACAATAAGCCGATGTAGTATCTGAATGAGGGAATTCAAGGCGACTAGCGAGCATCTCCAGAATTGATGTGCAGTGTTGCACAGCGTTGCACAGCCGAGGATGCGCAGAGGGTGTCAAGAAAGTTGGAAGGGTGCTCAAGACCTAGATGTGATCATAGCGAAGCTGAAGAGCTGCCGATTTAATGAGATACGCAGACAGCGTGCGCATAAGAGAATGGTTGCTCAGAGAAGAGCTCGAAACATCTTACATCTCTATCTTCCTTATTCGGCAACTGTCCACAAATACGTGCTGCTGCGCTATCCTCACATCCAATTACGTGAACACGCCCCTTCCGATCCTTGGGAAATGAAGTATATTCCCTGTGTTTCGCTATGCTCTCGTTGAAAAATGAAAGTGTAGAGTTCGCTCTGTGTTTCAGGAAAGTGAATCCAAATAATTTTCAATCTAAAAACTTTAAGAATGAAGTGAAGGGCGACTTTCACGCCCTAGAGTAGAGGAGCACAGCTATGTCATTTATAGCGCTATTTTGTACGAATTCATTGACTTCTAGAGGAATTTGTAGCATTAGCAGAGCCTTGGTCAGAGGTGCCGCATCCCGTTTTCATTTTTTGAACGGGCGGAATCTGTTCAAACCAAGCCGTAGCCGTACCTCAGAACTCGTCTGCAAACTTGCAGCCCCAGGTGAAACCGTAACTTAATTGAAGATTGTGACCTTACCGTCCATTAAAT